TAACGAATTTTTTGAAAGTGTTTACATATGACCACTATTATCGGACAGTAGCAAGTTATAACCGGTCATAAATATTATATGTCAACACTTCCAATAAGTTCGTTACCTAGATATGTATAAAAAAACAAAATTACCAAGATATGAATAAAACGAAAAGGTAATTATCCTTTTAAGTTAATTTCACTTTTTATTAAAACGATCGATTATAATGTTTGCAATATTAATATATTCAGTTAAATTTTCTTAAAACAATATTTATGACCCTTTAAATTGGCCACAATATATTGGGAGCCATTTTTTATAGCATCTACTCTAATAAATAAAAATCATTTCTGCCACTTTTTATTCTCTTATTTATTATGTTACATGTCATTTTGTGGTAATTTTGGATTAAATTATATCCTTATGTCATTTTATGGTTTTTGCTATTTTCTTAAATTTCATATAACATTTAAATGTAATAATAATGCATATCAAATTCATTAATGCAACTTTTCTTATAATTTCTAAATTTCTAAATTGAATCAAATTATTTTAATTGTTTATTTATTTAAATTTAAAAGAAAAATAAACACTTCAATTTTAATAGTTAAATATTTTTCTTTCTTTTTTTATAAATTCAAACTTTCTAAATTTTTAGATCTTCATATTTATTATTTTTTATTTTTTTTAATAAACCTAGGTAGTACAAGGGTCCTCATATTTATTTATTTTTATCAAATAGATATGTGTATAATGAGACAAGAGCAATGTTATTGATGTAGGTAAAAGCTATTTTTATTTTTTATATTTCAAAATTCATGTAATATATGGAACAAACTTCATTGAAGATGATGTTCTATTTCACGTTATTAGTCTCCATCTCTGGTACTTTTAGTCTCTAGTAAATTTTAATTTTTATATTTACTATCTTAAACAATAAAATTTTATAAAATGATGATGTGTTTTTTTCCCTATCAAATATGAAGGGTTTTTTTGTTTTTCTTTTTTACCAAAGTAGTGTATTAAAAATATAATTACCAAAATGGTGTGGTTTTAAGAATATAATTACCATTTAAGTTAAATTTAGAAGGTAAAATAAAAAAGATGACAAATCGGATTATCAAAGTAATTACTTTTTCGTTTTGTTCATATATAGGTAACTTCGTTTTTTTTGTACACATTTAGGTAACAAACTTGTTGGAAGTGTTCATATATGACCATTATGACCAGATGTAACTTGCTATAATTGGTCATAATGATTATATGTGAATACTTCCAACAAGTTCGTTACCTAAATATGTACAAAAAAATGAAGTTACCTAAATGTGAACAAAACGAAAAGATAATTACCCTAATAATTCAATTTCCCTTATTCAATCATCTGTTATTGTCCAAAATTCATTCTAAGTGTTTATTTTTAGTGTTTTCCATGAATTTACAACCAAACAATATTTATGAATTAGAAGTAGACACTAAATGGTTAAACAACAAGATGAATTGTCAAATAAATAACTTCTGTTAATCTTTTGCCTTTTATCTATTTCACCCCTTAGCTTAATGGTGTTGTTAACGAGTGAAATGCCAAAGAGGATGCCAACCTCGTCACAAAATCATTTCGCCATTTTTTGGGATGATGTTTACAGGTGAAGAAGAAAAGAGATAGGGGGAGAAAGAAACAAAGCAAAATATAAAAAGGTATTATTTTATAAATAATATATGTTCCATGAATCCAAATCGTAAATGATCAAAACGGACCATGGTTTGACATGTATACATTAACACCCAATAAAACCACGCTCCAATATGCAAATAAGACATTCACCGATAACATCCTCGTCATAAATGTTGTAAAACAATGAGCTTTTAAACAACCTACGTTAATCCTAATATATAAGAGACTTGGAGAGTTTTTTTCAGGGTAAAACCATGTTTTTAACTGTAAAATACCATTATCATCTACCCTTGTAACACTAAAAACTCATAAACACGTCATAAGTCAAAACTCCTCACTGCATATCCAAATTGCAACATGTATCTTCTAGCTTGAAACCGCAACACACCATCGTCATGTTCATGATGTATCATTAAAATCAACAATGCACAGATGAGCAGAGGGTCCTCATTCATGCTACATAACTCCAACCACAAACTCAAAGCATGAATTTCTAAATAGCATAATTCAAGCTAGAGTTGGAGATATTTTAGACAGCTTCAACCACGGCCTCACACATGGACCTATATCTGAAGGCAATTGATTTCTACAACAATTCCTAATCCAAATGTTACTATCTTATCTTTACAAATAACACATAACACAGATAATGCAATCAACATTTATTATATGGATATTTTTAAGTTACGATTATGTTCCTGATAATAACTACGCACTCACTTGACAAAGTGTTTGGTGATTTGTGAATTGGGCAGAGCTTCGCCTTACACCTTTCTCGAAAGACCAAGATGTATATAACGCTACGTCTTAGTCTAGTTTCATACTACGTGGAATTATTATCTTAAGAGTTTAGATTCCTCAACAATTCCAAAGTCTATTTCAAGATCAAACAAGTAAGGATTAGCCAGGCAGGACAGTCGGGAGGCAGGATCATTTCGACATATAGTCTTTCTGAAATCTAACAACCACGCCAACATGACCATTCTAGACACATCTCCATAATAGATCAATCAACATAACAACTTGGAATCATTGATAAATCTTAATTATAAGATCCTAGTAATGACCTACAACTATAATTATAAATTATACAGAGGTAGAGTAAGTGTAGCTCACTTACAGAGTACAATAGACGAGAATCGGGATCTAAACGGGTAGAATACTGACTTAGGTCCTTCCTACACGAAGATTATGGCAATATAAGCATACAAGAGTGTCGCAGGGATTCGCCACATGCTAGAATGAAGAAAAATGGGTTTACAGGAGGGATAATCAAGAGAGAGTGGCTGTAAGAGTGTGTGAAATGAATGAGAGAATGTTGGCTATTTACAGGGCCAAAA